ATCTCAAAGCCATTCTCATGAACCAAAGCTTCCAATAGAAATGCCTGAACGATTTCGCGGAAACCTTGCGCAATACGAGAGAGAGAACCGACCTTGCCAGACTCATCTACCGTTTCTTCGAAAAGATAGACGCCATCTGGAAGGTACTCGGAAAGGACAGAACATGCAACACCCTTCGTGAGTACCAAATTGAAAAGGAATTGTCGAGAAGAAGAGGAAGAAAAGAAACACGAAGAAGAAGAGGAAGAAGAAGAAGTTCCTGAACCGCTACATGGGCAACCCTTGTTGCCGATGACGGTTACGAAATTTCCAACCCTACCCATACCAAATCCGCAACAAGGAGACAGGCAAGTTCTTACCCCAGTCCTCAACAACTTGGGACACTTGAACCTTAACTTCGGAATCGCGGTTCAATCTCCATGGGCAAGCTGTCGCAATCAATGGTCCAAATCCAGGCAAGAAGACGAAGGTCAGACACATTGACGTACAAGCTCAACAACCGTAAGGAGAACCTCGATGGTCTAAGAGTAAAAAAATTTTATTTTAGGGGGAAAGTTAGTATGGCTAAGTCGTGTACTGAGGCACTGCGCGCCTCCGTACACCACTTAGCGGTTTTGACACTTTAACAAAACCGTTAACGTATATTTTACAACACAAACGACAATACTAATTAACCTTAAATATTTATAAAGCCGCCAACCACTTCATCCCACTAATGAAAAAATAAACGTTCTCACTTACAAAAGTATTGGCAACTCCTCCCATTGCTGTGCTTCACATAACAGTTCATAATCTTTGACTCACTTTCTTCTTCATATAGGTCAAAGTCACTGTCAAAATAAATGTTAGGTAAGTTTTGACAAAGCTAATGAAACACGTTTACTGTTTGTATCGTATGCTTGTATAAACTTTCCATTCTTCATTCCTTCATAAACGCTCCAAACTAACTTACCTTTTCTCCCTCGTATCTGATAGAATGTATTTTCACGAGGAACGAAGAACAAATTTTGAACTCATGACCGTTGTAGTTTGTTATCTCAATAGTTTCGTCATTTATATAAAAATAAACTTAAAAATAATTTTAAAAAAATAAACTTAAAATTAATGATATCACCACCCTCACACGTATGAAAACAATGAGCACAAAAATAAATTTAGGTGAAGTGGTGAGATCTCACCTCTTTTTTCACCTTTTTTCACACCCCGTTGAATTCATTGCTTTATAACTCTCTTCCTGGTTTCTTTTATTGCTTTCTCACGTCTGTCTCCAACTTGACTGTCTTTCTTCTTCGTCCGTAATGATACCAGTTATTCCCCAGTCAATGTTCAAATGGTCTTTCGTAAGGGTTTCCATACATTCCATAGGGACAACGGAAGAACTACTTGGAGAGAGAAACATTTTCTTTAGTTCCATCGACTCTATTTAAATGCATTGTTCACCTTTCATCTGGTCATTAAAGTCTTTTGCTGTTTTGCAAACACATCGTCCTTTCCTAAAGCATTTTCTGACTCAGTCGCAACCAATTGGATGCTTTATTTATGAGCCCTATTTATTTAATCTTAACTTCTTTGCAACCCAGCCTCCAATCTTCCTTTATTTGCATCTAATGTCTTCGAAACCCTTCCTCCACTCATTTTATTTACTGCGTCATAAGCTCCAAGTGCTTTTGCTCAAATGCTAATGCTTTTGTTCCCATTGCGCTAAAGCTGCCCAAGCTACCATTTACACCATATTAAAATCATCTCTCTTCAATATTATCTCATAAAAGTTCTCGTTACTGGAGAAAGTCAATGAAACATAAACAGTTTCATTCATAAACTTCTTTCTTATATTCATCTATACGCTTCAAAATGTCTGAACAATTGCTAACATCTTCTACAACAGTTATTTTCATCATGAAGACCTTCAAAAACAAACTCATTTAATATTCTATAAAAATCATCTCAATAATGAGTCCATCCTTTCCATCTTTAGGTAGCACAACATTCTTTCATTAAGACAAGTCTTATGTTAAACTTACTGACAAAGTTTGTTATACTATAATGCTTCGGCGGCGAATACATGTAGTTTGAAAGACATAATATAGATTCTTCAGCAAATTCACTTATACTGGATTTTATAACAATGTTCTCACGAGACCAAATACCACCAATTGAAAAACTTGTAAGCAATCCTGCTGAACCTTCTACTGTAAACGTCGATGGTAACATTCCACGAAGGTCATCTATTGACATCGTTGAGTCACTGTATTTAAATATTTTCTTAAAGCAATCGTCATTATCTAACCATGCAATAGCTTTGAAGTTTTCATTCGAATATACATCTGCTTCATTAAATGTAAAACCTGACTTCTTTGCAGAGATGACTTTAAAATCTATTGAGTTTGTTTCAAAATTATATGCTATGCTAACTTCTGAAGGTAATGGATGTCCTTCCGCAGTCAGTTGTTCTCTCACTACCGTTTGAAGCTTTGTATTAAAAACTTTCATGTCATCTCCTGTATCTAAGTTCACATACACAGCAACAGGAAAACTATCTTGCTTCTTTGTTTCATCATTATACCTCAAAACATTAAAGTTCTTCAATAATATTGTTCTTCCTGCTGGAATACTTCGAACCTGTCTGATTTCAATAGCTTTCTCACCTCCTACATACTCTACCAGTGTCTTGGATATTCATAAGTATACTGACTTTCTTGAATTTTGGTTGGTTTCATCATAACATGTTCATAGTATATCTTTATACTCTTGTCAGTTAGACTCGGTGCTATGTTCTGAATATTTCTGACTTGCATTTTTAATGGAGATAAAATGAAGCATTTAATACATGACGTAGATGAAGACATGAATGAAACTACAGACAAACTTAACTCTTCTCTCATTCTTCCTTTCAGTAAGGACTATGAATTCTGTTCAAATGGCGTGTATTTCTATTGTGGAAAGATGGGTTCAGGTAAGACATTTAATTTAATTCGTCATATACTCATAACAGAATGTTTAGGAAATGACTCTTACTATGACCAAATCATTATATCAGCAACTTCAGACTCTATGGACTCAACAGCGAAAACATTTATGTCAAAAGTTCAAGCCTCTGTCGTTAAAGTTCCAGACAGTGAACTCATTGAATTTCTTCAACGTTACATTCGACGTAAGAGGAAATATTATGCCATCGTAGAGTTCATACAGTCAGGAATGCAAAAGACCTCTGAGGAGATGGAAAGAATTATTGACAAACACCACTTACGTCAGTACTCAGGAGTTTACGATATGAAACGACTGACAAACTACATTCTATCAAAACTTTCAAAATACCCCTTCAAAAAGTATCCTTCAAACACTCTGCTCGTTTGTGACGACTTCGCTGGTAAAGGTTTAGTGTCAAAACCAGACTCACCATTAGCTAACATCATAACTAAAGTCAGACATTACCATTTAACTGTAGAAATACTTATGCAAACATGGTGCTTTCTTGCTTTAAACATAAAACGTCTCATAACTGACTTCGTTATCTTTCAAGGTTTCTCTCGCTATGATATTGAACTCATTTGGAAACAGTCAGGTATAACATTACCTTTTGAAGAAATTTGGGAAGCATATAAGTCTCTCATCTCTCCTCGTTCATACCTTGAGATTCATATCATGACTAATACCATTAAAGTCAAAAATATTCCATGGGAACGACCAACATTGTTTTAAAGTTTAACCTTCAATTGACTGATGGTAAACAAATTCCATGCATCTCTGTCGCCATTTCTGTTAATATTTTTGCTGTCATTCATATCATCCACTTCCCCATCCGTTAGCTTTTGAGGATATGCGTTAGAATAGCTGTTCTTAAATGAAGGCTTTTCACCTTTGAGAGCATAAACTCTATAACTTTCTGCATACTTTATGTTTGAACCTCCTGAGCCATCGTTGACATAAATTTTTATAGGCTTCCACCCTTTGTTCATGTTCCTGCTTCTTCCTTAGCTCTTTTGTTCAGTAGTTCTACATCTTTATACACAGCACCTGTCTCAGTGAATTCAACAATATTTTCATTCGTTAGCTTTGCATTCAAACCCTTGTCGAGTATATTGTTCATTTCATACATATAAAAGGTTTTTATTCTATATGAAATGAGAAGCAAATCCATCTTAGCTGGTGCCGTTAATGTTCCAATTGAACCAACATCAAATGTTGACTCACGAACGACAAACAATATTGTCATAAAGAACTATAGTTCAGAGTGTTTGAAAGAAAAAGAACCAGAACTTAAGTCGGTGAATTTAAACACAGCTTCAAACGCTAACGCTACATCAGATGTTAAGTTAGAGTATCCACCACTGGACCAAATTCTTTCAAGAGAAGCCAACGACAACCCTTACACAAATGTTCAAACAAATCCTTCAGATAACGTAGACCATTACCTTCTTCAGTTATACCAAACAATTTTACTCAAAGACGATAAGAAGCTTTTGACAAATCTTATAAGCAAGAACCAAATAATTCTAACAAAGGAGGACCTTGAAAATGTTATATCACGAATAACAGGAAAACAATGTGTCATTGACTATCTCGACCCTGAAATCGAATGCTGTGGTCAAACTCCACTATTCATGAAAATAGGTAACATCCGCATCATTGAAACACCAGGAACTACAGGAGTTGAGTTTAAGTATAAATATTCGAACGAGTATACAAAACTTTCAACAGAATATAAACTTTGCTTGAAATATGTTTTAGTAAATTAAAGCAGTCAGGAGGGCTCTTTGAGCCCATCTTGGCGCTTTGCGCCGTCAGTCAAAAAAAATTTCAAGTTAGCAATTTGTAATATCTATCCAAAACTTCTTCAACAGTATCGAACTCATCTTCATAATGCAAACCTAATCTTATTGACTTGGTGCAGTTTTCACTAACACAATATTTTTCTGTTCTCTTGACTGACATAACTAACTCATTTGTTTCATCAAACAGCAACAACCAAAGTTCATGACCTAATACATAACATTCATACTTTATATTTTTAGCTCTGAGTTCTCTTGTAAGCTGTTGCATTTAATATTTTCTAAAAAGTCAACTTCAACAGTCATTCGCACTGGTGCCTTCAGTTCTACAGGCTCGCCTTGAAAGTCAACTAGTCTGAATTGCATGTCTTTCAAATTATGAGGACTAATGCGAACCCATTTACCTAAATGAGTTGCTATGACAGGAACATTTGGAATGAACATTGAATTGACTGCATAACAGAAGGATTTATATTCTACTGAACCTTTACTATTAACTCCTGAAATGCCTGTGACATTAGCTATTTTAGACTCAATGTACAAACAATTGCCATAACATACGTATGGAACAGATTTCATCTCAATCGTTTTGTCAACACTTTTCAAAGGAAATGTCATATGGTATGCACCCAAAAGAAGTTGTACTCTATGACTCATTCGTGTTATCTTAAACTCTTTCTTGCTACTGAACTTCAATGTTCCCTCAGAAGAGAGTTCGACATCTATGTTGTCAATAGTTTCTTCATTTATGAGAGTATCTATGACTCCAGCAATTTTATCTATTCTATACTCTGCTCTGTTAGGAAATGTTACAACACTTCTTTTGTCATCTATTTCAATCTCTATGAAATCTGTTTCATCTGTTATGACAAAAGTTGCGATAGTATTGAAGTCAACAACTCTGAAAGCAAGTGCTTCATTCTGAAGACCTAAGTTTGTTTGAAGCTTTACTGTTCCGTATTCGTTTGGGTCTGTACTTTGCAAATAGAACAACATTTTATTCTCATTAAAATATGACTATTGCTGCATATGCGTATGAAACAAATGAAGCAAGAAGAGCACACGAATTAGTAAATGAAAACTCAACATTAACCATTGAAGGCAATGATTTAGTCATTGACGATGGAAAAACTAAAAAAGTCATTGATTTCGATACTTTTAACACTTATGACCCATTCATTACAACAAGCAAGGTTCCCATCATAAATGATGGAACGGTGCAATATATAAATTCTACAGTAGATGCCTCATTAGTGAAAGTATTAAATGTTCTCATTGAATTGTTAAAGAGCTTTCGATTTGACGACAACATTAAATGCTTAAAGAATTTAGTCATGAATGAGAAACAAATTCTCGGCGTTGCTGGTAGCAGTAATGATGTACACCTTATGACATTAGAATATTATAACGAACATAAAGATGAACTGAAAGGAGAGAAGGGTGACACCGGACCTCAAGGACCACAAGGAATACAAGGAATACAAGGACCTCAAGGCGAAAACGGTTTGGATGGAAAGGATGGAAAAACTGCTAAATCATGGATATGGGACCTTATAAATACTGGTTTAACAGCTGCATCATATGGAGTTCTTCAATACCAAATCGGAAAGATATGGGCAGTACTTGGTGAAGAAGCTTTAGATGACGTTAAAAATGCTTTGAACTTCATTTCAAATGGTTCGGATACTATTAAAACTTTATCTGGTTGGATGCAAGAAACAAGGAGTCAAATAGATACTGTAAGACGTATAGCAAACAATGCACGTACTGGATTGGATACTTTACGAGAAGCACAAAATACACTAAAGGAAGCAAATGATATTCTTGGCTCAGTATCAGACATGCATGAAGATTGGCTTAAAGGTATTGACAAATCTTTAAAAAATCACAGTCAGTCTATTGCTGACTACAAGAAAAGTATAGATTTTTTACATAGTGCTATGGACGTACATGATGGAAGTATAAAGAACTTACTTAATGCTAACAATAACTTACCAGGAACTATTAAAGCATTTATAAAGTCCTTTGTAAAACCTGGTGCTCTAACATTTAGGTCTTTGAGAGCAAGAGCATTGAAATCAAGAGATGCAGAAACTCCAACAGAACCTACAGAAGGAACTGAAACAACAGAAACTCCAGAAGAACCACCAAAACCAACAGCTAATGAAATATTGTTCGAATATTTTCCAAGGTACTCTGTTCTCATTGCATACATTCAAGAAATACTTAAGAAAGCAGACTTGACTTTAGGAGATGATGAAAGTTCTGTATATCTTTCGTTCCAGTTTCAAATAGCAGAACTTTTGAGACAGATATGCTTAATGTATGACAACATCTCTGATTTCACAAGATATGATGACGACCATGACCCCGAACACGGTGAAGAAGAAGTTTTACAAACATCCATTAAGACAGGAAAGGTTTTAACACAAAGTCTCATTATTGACACCAAAGATGGCGAAGTGGACGTTCTTCAAGAGCTGAAGAAAAATACTTCTGAAGGAGGTGGTGGTAGGCATGAACTTGAAATAAATGAGATAGAAGAGAAATTAGCCGAAAAAGCAGATAAAAACCATGTTCATTATATAAGTTCAGACGAACAGATTATAACGGACTACCATGGATATTTAACACGAAGTGATGAAGCGAAGACAAAAAATGTTAATGAAAGAAGATATAAATACATTCGTGCTAAAGGTTATGACATAAGCTGTACTGTACAGTATGATGTAGCTAAAGCACCAGAAGTATTTGGTTATAACGATGAAATTTATGCTTCATACTTCTCTGTTAAAGGTGTATTAGTTGAACCAAGATTTACTTTGAGAGTTAAGGCAAAAATAACTTTTGAAGATGCTATTAAAAGTAAAGCTGACAAAGATGAACTTGACGCAACGAACAAAGTTTTGAAATCTCATAAACACAATATCTCCGATATAAATGAACTTCAAGCTACATTAAATAGTAAAGCTGACAAGAACCATACACATGAATCCTTCACTACTGTTAGAGCAGACGACATAATATTGAACTATACCCTTGGTTCAAGTGCGCCTTTAGAGAATCCAAGTACAAGCGTAAAAGATACACTAAACTCCTTAAATAGTAAATGTATGAACATTGAAGGTCATGTCAGAAACTTTGAAACATATGAACTACCAGCAATGTTAGATAAGAAAGCAGACAAAGAACATACACATAACTCCTTCTCAACTGTTGCTATAGAAAGTATTGAAGGAACGGTTGACGGAACTGATGGGGATGCATTATATTGTAAACCTCCTAACTTTCCACAAGGTTTAACATCGAATGAAAACATAACAACGAAAAAAAAATTAGCTGTAAAAATGTTTATGTCATGGGTGATGAAAATAATGTTAAATTCACTGCTCAAGATTTATATGATAAGAAAGCAGACAAAACAGAGCTTCAAACATTAAAGACTGAAATACTTCAAACATTATATCCTATAGGCTCTATTTATACGTCAATGAACTCAACAAATCCAGAAACAGTTTTAGGTTTTGGTATGTGGAAGCAGATTGTAGATAAATTCTTATACTGTGCTAGATATTCAAAGCAAACAGGAGGTTCGAAGAAAATTAAAGAAGCAAACCTTCCACCGCACACTCATACAGGAACTACAAACACAACAGGTAGTCATTCACATTCAATAACAAAAAGAGGTTATACAAATCTTGCAGCAGGTTCGGATAGACAGGGAATGCATAGATATGATATTTCAAGTGACCCAGTAGATTCAAGCGCAGGTATTTTCTGTGGAACCACAGGAAATCATTCACACACTTTCACAACAAATCCAACAGGCTCGGGTGCAGATTATATGCCACCATTTGTGACTATATTCGCATGGTACCGCGTTCAATGAACGCGCTTGAGCCTAGAATAAAATCTTTAACTTTACATAAATGAGCTTGAAAGAAGTATTCGAACAACATCCATGGAGGTCATTTAAGAAGTTCAATGAAGCTGCAAAGAGTTGGGAATTTACTAACAGAGCTGAAGTGAAAAGGTTCTTTGACAAAAATGTTGTACATCAAACAAAAATAAACCCTTACGACTACTTTTTACCAATTTACTCCAACACTCCTGACGCATACCAATTTGACACTCTCATTCAAAGCAGAAAAGGAGGACATAACCCATTCCTCATCTTCATTAATGTTAACACTCGTAAAGCATATGCATATCCAATGAAAAATAAAGGAACTCGTGAAGTGTTAAGAGTTTTACAAAAGTTTGTAGCAGAACATAGCCCAAGTACTTTAACATCAGACCAAGACAGTGCATACCTCAGCAATGAAATCACAGATTTTCTCATTAAGCATAACATAACTCACTACACTACTGAAGACCATAACCATAACATACTCGGCATCATAAACCGCTTCATAAGAACGCTCAGAGATTTAAACCAAGAGCGAGACTTTACCGAAGAAACAATGAAACATTTCATCGAAGTTTACAATTCCTCAACACATTCTACAACAGGACATACACCAAATTCAATGACACAACAACAAGAAGAAAAGTATATACAAAAGAAACGAAGCCAAACACAAAATATCAGAAATTCAACACAATTTACCCTCATTCCTGGTACAAAAGTTCGTGTAGTTCTTGACGACAAACCGTTGACAAAGAAACGTTTAAGGTTAAGTAGAAACTATTATATCGTAGACTCTACGCAAGGTAATGGATATCTTATAAAAGCTGCTGACGACTCTTTTGCGTTTTACCCTCGACATAAATTAGTTGAAAGTAGTAATGGCAAACTTGCTGAAACCATTGACGAAGCAAAGCGAGGAGTGGTTATTGAAATACTTGGCTATAACATAAACGATGACACTTATAAAGTAAGATATGAAGGAGGCGTTGAAGATGTTATACCATCTAAGAACTTGAGAGAGTCAAAGCCAACACATCTGGGACCATTAGAGCGGGAGTACTGGAAAGACAAAAATAAGCCAGAAAGAATAAGAAAATTCTTCTAAACTTTTTCATTAGATGTAAATCAGACAAAGCATTTACCAGAAAGAATAAGATAATTCTTCTAAACTTTTTCATTAGATGTAAATCAGACAAAAATATATTTTAGGTGAAGAGGTGAGATCTCACCCGTTTTTTCACCTGTTTTCTCACCCTCACGAATTTTCATGAATTTCCTTAAGATAGAAAAATAAAGTTAGTTTTAAAATTATTTATTTTTTTATTTTGTATGTAAAGACAGTAATGACAAACATTGAGTTTGAAACAGTTAGAAAGATAGACAATGACACCAAAGTGGTTAGAATAGGTGATTTAAACGTAAGATACTCAAAGAAATACAACAAATATTCTTTGTCAGACATTATATCTCCATCTGGAAAGAAAACAAACGACTGGGTTAGAAATGCTTCAACTCAGAAAATTTTGACAAGAAATCCTGAGCTTATGATATCAGTAGCATTTCATGGAACAAGAGCATATCTTATAGACAAAAGTCTTATACCATTAGTTTTGTTATGGTTAGACCCAGTTGTTGGATATAACTTCATAACATATGGTTCATTCGATACGGAACGTTGCAGTGAAGGCTTACTTTACATCGTTCAGAAACCGAAGGACTTCAACACAAAAAGATATAAGATAGGAAGGACATATAATATAACTCAAAGATATGACAGTACAGTCAATAGAGTCAAGGTTGTGTTTGTTAATGATATGAGAGCTGCTGAAACAGAACTGCTTGAAGTTTTTGAGAAAATGTATGGTGCTCCCACGAAAGGTAAAGAAACGTTTGAAGTAGATGAGATAGATAAAGCTATAAAATTATTTGACGAAGTTGCTGAAAAATACATGTAAAGCGTTTATTTTTGGTCTTTTGTGAAAGTCAGAAAAAATAAAGTTAGTTTTATTTTTATTTATTTTTTTATTTTGTATGTAAAGACAGTAATGTCAACATTAGAGAACACAACAACTGCTATCGTTCATGAAGCTATAAATGAAGAATACGAGTACATACAATATAACAAACAGTTACGTCTCATTCGTTCAGTCAAAGATGACATGTACCAAATGCAAAGTATAATGAATGCTCTTCGTTCTACAAAGCAAGCATATCATTGGTTTGAAAACCAACAGACAAAAGAACATTTAGAAGAATTTCCTCATATGATTGCTTCCCTCGGAAAACCGAGAGAAGAGATTCCGTACGAAAATCGCAAGAATTTGGCTCCTGGTTTGAAAGGTTATTATGTTCATAGACTTTTAGTAAACGCTGTAGCAATGGGGGCTTCACCTCGTTATGCTTGTTATATTTTCATGATGTTAGATGAACTATATAAAGCAGAACGTGGAGAGATGGAAAAGAAACTTCAAGCAAAAGATGAAGTCATTGAATCCAAAGACAAAAGCATACAGAAAAGAATACAGCGTTCAGTACCAAAAGGAAAGGAAAAGAGTTATAGGTATATGATATATACTGAAGAGTTGGAAAATGAAGAAGATAAAGATATGGTTATGTTGCATTTAGTCAGAAGAAACAACAAGAGCTTTTATGACTTAGCTAAGATATATAAATCTGACAGAAACTGGTTCTATCGTGAAAACTTACCGATTTCAATGACACCGAATGAACAAATAAAGGAAATTGTCAAAAAGACTCTTCCTCAAACACACTATGACATCAAAGGTTGTACAATACTTACATTCAAAGAAGACTTAACATTACTGAAGGAAAAAATAACAGAATATTTCGACAACTTCAAAGAGGAAGAATGAAGTCACGACAACATTAATGGTACCATTTATTTTTGTCATAAATGTTTTCAATGTTACCATGTTACCATGTGCTACCAGGTTATTTAACTTCTCTTAAAATTACTGACAACATAACATTTTGACGAAGTGAAGATCTTCACTTCGTGTCATAATGCAAAAATAAATTCCAATCATACGTTATAAAGCTTCATTTACAAGTATTTCATCGTATATGTTTTGTCAAAACTTCTTCGTAAACTAAACGTAAATGTTTTGTTATGATTTCATCGTATATGCTTTGTCAACTTCTTTGTATATATTTTGTCAACTTCTTCGTAAATGTTTTGTCAACTTCTTCGTAATGAGTGTAAATGACCCAAAAATAAATTTTCTTATAAAGCTTCAGGGTCTATTTCTTCAACCATTTCACTTCCTTCGTCAATGTCAATAGAAGCTTCTTCAACCTTTGGTAAGAATTTCTGTATAACATCTTTGTTCGTTATTGTCTTCAGAGATGAAGGATAATATTTCACATTTGTTTCACCCTTCTTATATTCTTTCTGTTCGGAAAGATTTAAAGCAATACTGAAGAAGTCAATATTAGAGTTCTTTATAACAGTATAATGAGTATCTTTGACATTCACGAAGAAACTCTTTTGTTTCAAAACTACTGCTAACTCTTGTGAAGTATAACGTTTGCGGTCAATGACGATAGCTAATGGTCTGACATACTGACCAAACTTAGATTCTTTCACAAACTTCTTGTTAAAGATAACATTAACATTTGAAGCATTATTGAACTCATTCTTGATGGCAGTAGCGAGAGCATTGTATGAAAAGAACTTGCAATCTTGCATGTGTTTCATTAAAATAAAAATATTAAATTATTTTGAAAAATAACTTAAAAAAATCTAATCTAATTTTTTTCTAAGAAATTTTTTTTATTTCCTACTAAAGATGTATCGGAAGTTGTCTAAGTTAGAACACTCGGAAATAAAACAACTTCTAACAGAAGCTAATATAGATGTTGCAAAGCATTACGCAACAAACAAAAAAGCACTCGCTGACATCCTCAATGACTATAATGGTGCAATAAGTTATGATAGAATTCATGAGTTCATAAAGCCGCAACGCGGCGAGGACGAAGTCCATGCAAGAGCATTTCCTTTAAATGACGTTGCTATTGACTTATATCATAGACGTTCAGTACCTCATGAAGTAAGAAGAGAAATGTTTGACATAACAAATGCAAACGTTGGTAAAACACGAAAGAGAGACGACACACTGAAACAACAGAGAAGAGAGATGTTTAAAAGTGCTATAGAACAAGTTCGCAAAGCTAAAGATGTCATTCGTTCCATTGACGACAAACCAAAAGAAGGTGAGAGATGGTTAAAGAAAGATGAAGAGAATAGGAAGAGAAATGTGAAGTCAGGCAATAGACTCATTGACTTTAACATTGAAGCTTTAGATGAACCAAACAGAGACTACTTACACAAACATTTCGGTAAGGTTTTCATGAGACTCTTAGAGAAAATTAAAATAAACTCACAACAGAGATGGATGGTATGTTATAAACTTGGTGGAAAGTATGAATGTTCTACGTTAAACCTCAATAATATTGGAACATTACTACATCAGCTCTTGAAGGAGAACTTTATATCAGAGATAGAAGCAAATGCTGCAGGTATTGTTGAAATGCACTATGACTTCTTCTTGACAAACATAAAGAATCTTACCGAAATAAAGATGTATGATTTAACAGAATATGAAGGCTTAACGATGTCAGATGTAAAGAAAGGCAAACCAAAAAAGAGACCATATAGAGATGAAAGCACACTGACAAATGACCAGAAAGCCATTTTGGAAGCTCTTAAGCAAACAGGAAACCCAGCACTTATAGAAAGCTTTTGGAAAGATAATGGTGAAAAGAAGTTTTATAAGAAGAGAAGCGGTCAGTTCTGGAAGTATCTTTGCACATTACCTATAAATCTTGAACGCTACCAAATCTTCAATGAACTGAACAAAAGAACTGCAACACTTATGACAGAAGATAACTGCTTCGTTTATGCTTGCATTCAGGCTGGAGTAAATGAAGAAACTATTGACCACATGAGAGAAGTCATT